TGATCATGGATCTATGCAATAAGAATAAAATCATAATAAGATCATAATAATGAGACTAATTCACCTTCACCTTTCAACACAAACCATAAATAATCCTAGTCATAAGTTAATTAAAAGGGATATCGAGATAATTAAATAAATTAGTGTAATATATATCTATCCGGATATGATTAGTCTCATAGTTACTCGTGTAGGGACACTAGGGATATAATGCATGTGCTCATTAGAAAATGAGTTCACTAATTAATCTATTTATGAAATTCTGAATGATTAATTATACCTAACTCTAAAGATTCTTAATACCTAATAAGAACGAATTTATGATTCGTCTCTACTAATTGCTTGGGCATCGATCTAGAAAGAATTTCTTTTGAGCTTATTGATTATCTATAATCAACGATTTTTAACCTACAATCTCATTAAAAGAATGATGTCTTGAATCACTAAACGATAAGCCGCATATCCACCCAACTGTCATCCTACAGTTAGTAGTTTTTTTTTAAATTATCAATATAATCTAGAATCAAAATTTTTTTATTTCATAGAATTTTGTTTTGGATTTAATGGTTCATAAATGAATCATCCTAGACTATTTTATATAACGAAAGGAGATACAAGACTCGATCAGTTCAGGTAGTGATTGGTCTGACAGAACGGTAAAACCCCATATAATTTTCTTCAATTTTAATTCACTGGTAGCCCAATCGACAATGACGTATCTGGAATCAGAATACAAGTCTGGGAGTATCCAGTTGTTACTCTAACCTATTGCACATATGAAAATCACTAATAATTACTGTTCAAAGTGAAGGAATAAATTGAATTCAGTTGATAAAGTAGGAGCATACTTAAACAACAAAAGGTATGTACCAGTCATTAATTTCAACATGAACAATGAAACCATACCAAAATTCAATTCTGTGATCAGCTTCGTGTTTCTGGAATTAAATTACCTGCAAAATTTGCACTGAATGATTCGATTCCGGACTCGTAGGCCTGTCTTGCAATAGATTAAATGCAGATTAAGTGAAGAGGAGAATGAGGAAGGAAAACAGAAAATTGGAATCAAGGGTTAAGTATAAACATAAAGCAATCATTCTAGTTGGTTGACTAATGCATTTGTAATAACCACTAAGAACAATCGACTGAAAACGATAACAGTGCAGAATCCTCACCTTTGTTATGCCATGCTTCCATAAGTGTAATCGATTAAGATTTGCTTCCCTTAGTTTTTATTCCCCTGATTTACTGGCCACACCCTACCTGAATTAACAAGATGAAATAAATGGAACGGGGATGAATGAATCAAACCTTGGTAGAAGCGTACGATGCACCATCGCCGACGAGGCTCCATCTCGCTATCAAAAGGGGAAAGAAAAGGAAACGGCTAAATCATCGCATTTTGATCTGAAAATACCAGAATTGTGAATTAAGCCGAAGGAGAGGAAACAACTTCATTTCCGCAATGATTGAAACAAAAAGAAAATAAGAGAAAGAGGGAAATAATCAACCCATCCATCGACCAAAATTTTGAAAGGAAACCCTAACCAAGAGTGAGATCGAAGATCAGCCGTCGATCGGTGGAGATGAAAGTAAATGGATGGAGGGGGAATGACCCGCGTAAATAAGTGTAAAGACAGCGGCGGTGGCGGCGACGAGGACTACACCTTGTTGGGTAGAATGATCTTGAGAGGGTAACGAGAGAAGTATCAAATGGCGGCGGATTCCCCTTCCCACCTCCTCCACCACCCTTCCATTTCCGTCGGCCGTCTTCGACGATCTGGAGCAGTAGCACGGAAGTCGCTCCATCGCAACATCCGAACCGTCCATCGTCAACCAGCAACATCTTGCTATGCTCCCGCAGCAGCCTCCGATCACAATTCACATGGCAGTCAAGTGTGCCGCGGGGCCTCTTTTGGGTCTGCCGTCAACAACTTTGGTTGGTTGACAAAAATTGTAGATTGATTTATGCATCTTAAACATCAAATGTACGTGTCCAAATAGTTTAATTCCCACGTTATATGTGTACTACTACATATTTACTGACGTGACCTTTTTTTTAAGCTGTAACTCAAACCAAATTGGAAGCTGTTTGGTTTTCCAAAATGTTAGATAACCCTTAAACCCATTAGACAAAAGTAAACCGGACCAAATCGCTCGGCCTGATGGGTTCATTTTGCACACCCTTCAATTGGCATCCCACCCACACCGATAGCGGTCAAAGACTCGAAAGGAGAACGAGTCGAGAGGGTTCCCAGAGACCTCTGGTGCAGATTGGAAACGACAAAGATAAGAAAGATAAGAGTGGCGTATTTAATTGGCCTTCAAAAGCTGAAGCTGATAGGGCAGACGAACAAATTGTGAGAGAAGCAGCAGCACCTCCTCCTCAATCCCTGATTGTTATTTACTGTTCCGAGCTCCCGACATCCGAGGAGCACACACTCCTATGCCATAACAGATCAGTACTCTGATCGTAGAGAGATCGACGACGATGGGTTTTGGCAGCAGCGATGATACGACCACCAAGGGCCGCAAGCTGCTGGAGATCCTCAACGTGAGGATGGTCGGCGCCGGCTGTCGAGTCCTGGTGCTGTCCCACGGCTTCGGCACCGATCAGTCGGCGTGGAACCGCGTGCTCCCTTACTTCCTGCGTGATTACAGGGTGGTGCTCTACGATCTGGTTTGTGCCGGCAGCGTCAACCCCGACCACTTCGAATTCCACCGCTACACCACCCTCGACGCCTACGTCGACGACCTTCTCGCCGTGCTCGACGCCCTCGGCGTCGACCGATGCTACTTCGTCGGCCACTCCGTATCGGCCATGATCGGCATCCTCGCCGCCATCCGCCGCCCTCTTCTCTTCCTAAAACTCATCCTCGTCGGAGCATCCCCAAGGTGTGCGGTTTACTGCTTCTTTTACATATGCACATGTGCTGTCGTGGTCTGTGTGTGTGTGACAAGGTCTTGGTGGGAGCCAGGTTTCTGAACGATGGGGATTACCATGGGGGGTTCGAGAGGGAGGAGACCGAAGAGGTGTTCGCAGCGATGGAGGCGAACTACGAGGCGTGGGTGCGAGGGTTCGCGCCGCTGGCGGTGGGGGCGGACGTGCCGGCGGCGGTGAGGGAGTTCAGCCGGACGCTGTTCAACATGCGGCCGGACATATCGCTGTTCGTGTCGCGGACGGTGTTCAACAGCGATCTGCGGGGGGTGCTGGGGCTGGTGCAGGCCCCCTGCGTGGTGATCCAGACCGCCAACGACGTGTCGGTGCCGCCTTCCGTCGCCGCGTACCTCAAGGCCCACCTCGGCGGCCGCACCACCCTGGAGCTCCTCCACGACGAGGGCCACCTCCCCCACCTCAGCGCCCCCGCCTCCTTCGTCCATGTCCTCCACCGCGCCCTGACGACAACCCAATGAACGCTTCCAATTCCTCCTCCTCCTCCTCCATCACCTGATGGTTTGGCCCACCACCATCACCTGCATCCGAACCTGATCAATTTGTGGAGAATTACGTGTCTTCAAGTGTGGGTGTTCATTGCTGCTATAGTGCATGTCCATTGGAGGTATGTTGTCACGTGAGGACTTTTCCCATCCAGCTTTGGTTTTGCTACTCTTACTGCTGTTTGCCGCTTACCGTGCTACACAATAATGAATATCGAATAAGGAGGTGGGGAAGTGCGCGGGTCGTTTACATGCTTCATTTTTCGCTTCCTCTCTGTGTATGTGAACCTCCAATGAAGTAGTGATCCAAATGAGACACAGGTTTCTGATGTGATAGGGAGATGTGTGGAGTGGCCGACGTGGTGGGGCTGGTGGAGAGAGAGGAACATATAATGTTTTGGGAACTTCCAAGGGAAAAGAAGGGGATGTGGAGGAGATAGTGATGTGAGTGGTGCTTGTGGGAGAAGGCTCCAGTGATGGAGGGCAATGAAATCTGGATATAGATCAAGATGGGACCTAAAGAGGAGCAACAGGTGGCTGTGAATCTTATCCTGGTGGAGGGGCCTTCAATGACTTTGTCGTTTGTTTGTGCTGTCTCCCACAACCCTTATCTAACATTTGTCCTTTTCTTATTTTCTTTTTTACTAAAATAAATTTATTTCATAATAATAAGTGCACACAAAATTATAAGTTTTAATAATGATAAAACTATTTGCTCTTCTACTTTCCTCTAATAGAATACCATTAATATAGAAAATATCTTATTTTGCTATCATTTTTTAATTCAAGATAAACTATTCTTTTAAGCATAGATAGGAATACAATGACCTGTTGGTTACATGTATTAATATATAGTGGTGACTAGGTAGAAAACTACTTGGCAAATTATGAGAAAATAAGTTCCTTATATACTCTCTAATTAACCAAACAGTACATTGAGTGTACCATCATGTCCCAAACACTGAACAACATTTGAATTACTAGAATTTTCACCACCATTTTGGACCAAATCCTTTATTTATGACTCCTTGGAGATGAAATGTTGTATCATCGTGATTAATTAACTTCCCTAATAAAGTAATATCTAACGTCTTATGGGATCGATACACTCCAAATACCATTAAATCATAATATAAATTGATTCCTTTGCTAATAAATAAAACTTTTGGGATCTATGGTAAGTCAATCAAAACATTAATCAAAACAAGTTGAGTTTGAAATTTTTATATATTTCACTTTTTTTTGTCCATTTTTTAATTAGAATATTTATATAATACATATTCTTCATTTAGTCTTGCATAATATACTTGAATTTAATTTTATGTGTAAAATCAAGTGAGAGGAAATGTTAAAGTTTAATATAAACCGACTCCTCTTATCCTACTTTGATTCGATACACTAATTTTTCGTTGAAGTGAAATATAAAACTGATTAATATTATAGATCCACTGTTAATTCAAGTTTTTTATATAAAAATATTACACAATACATACATATTAGTTTAGGAATAAAACAAGGGTCAAATATTTATCTTTTTTTGGTTTAGGAATAAGAATAAACAAATAAAGAGACTTTTATATCAATTTTATTATTTTTTGAATAGGTTTATGATGTTTTTAAAAAATATTTTATCCTATTAAAAAATAGGATAACTGAGGTATTGGATCGGTTCATCCTATCCTATGAACCTCTAAAATCGATAGATCGATTCATTTTATTTACTGACTCAATCAAAAAGAAAATTGTAATATCATTTTATGTCATGAGGTATTTCAAAAATCATAAAAGATGAAGACTAGACGGAAATATGAAAAAAAAAAACTCTTCTTATATAAAACAATCTCAAAATTCATATATATATATATATATATATATAGCTGTAGTTCACAGTGCAGCTACTTTTGTTGTCCTCTCGATCCGTAGCCACCAAGGGGACAACTAGGCCCTTAATAGATCTAAAGTGGGCCGAATAGAATAGCCTATTCAGTCTCTGAAATTTTGATCGGCGGTGGCACCACTTGGGAGACTCGGTCTCCCAAGAGTTCTGGGCGGTGGTATCGGCCCTATCAAGCGGTAATACCGCCGGCAGTTATTACTGCCAGTGGTGGTACTGCCCCTGTCAAGCGGTGGTACTGCCAGAGCTCGGTCTTCGAGCATTGTCAGGCATTAGTACCGCTCAGACTGAGTGGTAGTACCACCCAGTGACAAATGACAGGCAGTAGTACCACCCAGTAATGGCGGTGGTACTATCAGGACCCCGAAAATCTGGGGTTGGACACTTTTAGGCTTTATTTTTTAACTCATTGGGGCCTATAAAAACCCCACCCTTTCCTGCATAAAAGGGCAACAAAAACTTGACATTATCTTGAGTCTTTGAGGCCTTAAAAATGTTGTAAAAGCTAGAGTTCTCCTCCTTCTTTCTTCTAAGTGTTGAGATCATTCAAGAGAGGAGTGAAACTTGTAAGGGTTGTCTCCTAAGCCCGTCAAAAGGAGAAAAGCTGTAAAAGGGTGGTTGGCCTTCGCCTATTGAAGGAAGGCCTCTAGTGGACGCCAGTGACCTCGTCGAAGGAGGAAGCCGATAGTGGATGTAGGTCACGTTGACCGAACCACTCTAAAATATCGATTTGCATTTACTTTGAGCATCTTTCCTTTATAGCAAACTGCCTCTCCTCCTTACTGTGCTTTAAATACGTTTACATTTGCTTTGACGTAAAATATCTTCCGAGATCGGCTTTCTACGAAGACTTTACGAAATATTTTTTTTTTTCATTTGTGTGATTTGTTGAATCTCGTATTTTGATGATGAAACTACTTGATATATGTTTATGATTTAATCTGCGTTTTGAGTGACGCAGGGTGCTTCGATTAGGATGAGACAATTAAAGCAGGAACATCATGTTGTGCCGGAGGAACATGTCAGAAGATTGGACGTCGGGCCGATGGATCGGTTGACGTATCGACAGAAGGCTTCGGGTCGTGGACTCCGG